GAGAGTTGAAACTGCAGGTCTGGGAGAGAGAGAGTTGAAACAGAATTTCCGGGAGAGAGAGAGAGAGTTGAAATAGCAGGTCTGGGAGAGAGAGAGAGAGAGTTGAAACAGCAGGTCCGGGAGAGAGAGAGAGTTGAAACTGCAGGTCCGGGAGAGAGAGTTGAAACAGCAGGTCCGGGAGAGAGAGCGAGTTGAAACAGCAGTTCCAGGAGAGAGAGAGTTGAAACAGCAGGTCTGGGAGAGAGAGAGAGTTGAAACAGCAGGTCCGAGAGAGAGCGAGAGAGTTGAAACAGCAAGGTAGCACATAAATATTCAGTTAATAACAATGTATTTTTTGCGTATTAAAGAACGTTCTCATATTTTGTGAAAACTTGGGTGGTGATGTCTGAGAAAGATGTCAGGACACAGTGTGACATAAAACCAATCAGACAAAATATTTTGACACCTTCGTCCGGTGATAGCTTTCCCGTTGTTGCAGGGTGTAAGGGGGAGGGGCACTCTGTACCATTCCTAGAGGCAGAGTGCAGCCTCAGATGACCATACAGGAATGCTGCTATTCCAACACGCCAAAGCTAAGGCACACACACTTAGTCACTGCTCTCCCAGCAAATAGTCAAGGTCTCAGTTGAACTGGTAAACAACCATCAGTCGACGAAGGTCACTCACCCAGCAAACACTGCTGTCTGTTTCTCCATCGCTAGAGAGAAACAGACAGCAGTGTCTGTTTCTCTACCCACATGTAGAGATGACCTCAACTAGCCGGTGCCCCCGCACATTGACTCTGCAACGGTACCCCCATGCAGTGGCGGCTCCTGAAAAAATTCTCAGGGGGGGCAATTTTTCTGATGATTTAGGTGACCTACACACATTTAAAAAAAGATATGTCCAGCAACAACATGAAGACAGGGGCAGCATATAAGTCAATACCAGAAGCATTTATTGACTGATCTCAAAAGTGTTGGCTTACCAGGGTTGGTGGAGCCCTCAGTTTCATCTTTGCCTCGCAAAGCTAACTCAAACACTCCGCAAAACTTCACACACTGGATTAGCCGGCTGAGGATGTGGCGGTTCTTGCTAATGTCGTAGTAAATATATTTGTTATAGTGAATATGGAATATGATATGTTGAGTAAAATGTTGTGCTAAGATCTATTTAGGTCAGGAGCTGGTTATAAGTTCTGTTCCTATCCAATAACAATGGACAAAAGGGTCCTATCTTGTCAGCCTTGTCAGCAGGTGGCAAAGGACAACACCCACGCCATAGGCCTCTCAGTTCTTCCAACTCACGAGTTCTTGCTCTGAGGACACACACACACACACACACAAACACACACACACACACATCACCCATTCTCATCGACGGGGCTGTAGTGGAACAGGTTGAGAGCTTCAAGTTCCTTGGTGTCCACATCACCAACGAACTATCATGGTCCAAACACACCAAGACAGTCGTGAAGAGGGCACGACAAAGCCTATTCCCCCTCAGGAGACTAAAAAGATTTGGCATGGGTCCTCAGATCCTCAAAAAATTCTACAGCTGCACCATCGAGAGCATCCTGACTGGTTGCATCACCGCCTGGTATGGCAACTGCTTGGCCTCTGACCGCAAGGCACTACAGAGGGTAGTGCGTACGGCCCAGTACATCACAGGGGCAAAGCTCCCTGCCATCCAGGACCTCTATACCAGGCGGTGTCAGAGGAAGGCCATCAAAATTGTCAAAGACTCCAGTCACCCTAGTCATAGACTGTTCTCTCTGCTACCGCACGGCAAGCGGTACCGGAGTGCCAAGTCTAGGTCCAAAAGACTTCTCAACAGCTTCTACCCCCAAGCCATAAGACTCCTGAACAGCTAATCATGGCTACCCGGACTATTTGCACTGCCCCCCCACCCCATACTTTTTACACTGCTGCTACTCTGTTAAGTATTTATGCATAGTCACTTTAACTCTACCCACATGTACATATTACCTCAACTACCTCAACTAGCCGGTGCCCCCGCACATTGACTATGCAACGGTACCCCCCGGTATATATAGCCTCCCTACTGTCACTTTATTCTATTGTATATATAGCCTCCCTACTGTCACTTTATTTTTACTTCTGCTCTTTTTTTCTCAACACTTTTTTGTTGTTGTTTTATTCTTACTTTTTTGTTTAAAATAAATGCACTGTTGGTTAAGGGCTGTAAGTAAGCATTTCACTGTAATGTCTGCACCTGTTGTATTCGGCGCATGTGACCAATAAAATTTGATTTGATTTGAAACACACACACACACACACACACACACACACATCATCACTGTTAAACACACACACACACACACACACACACACAAATCCCCTCTCTTAGGCTGAACATTTGAAGACAGAGAACCCGACTCAGAGCCAATGCAACAGTGACAGTAGCCTGGAGGGGACCTCGCCCAACTCATCAGGACCAATCAGAAGATCAGAACTACTAGATTCAACCTACTTCATTTATTGCATAAAATGTCTGCACACAATGTTTCGGGGCTCTCTTCAGATAATAATAATAATAATAATATGCCATTTAGCAGACGCTTTTATCCAAAGCGACTTACAGTCATGCGTGCATACATTTTTGTGTATGGGTGGTCCCGGGGATCGAACCCACTACCTTGGCGTTACAAGCGCCATGCTCTACCAGCTGAGCTACAGAAAGTGGATACTCATGGATGCGCATCGCAATTGTAAAATGTCAACACAATTGGAGACACCACGTCATTTTTGGAGACATGTTATTGACAGTAAACTATTGTAGATGCGACTGCTAACTAAATAAAACATTTTAGCTGGCTAGCTAATCATCTTAGCTAAATGTGGGACAAACAATTCAGTTATTTACCGTTAATTTGAGGGATTGGGGTGAAAGAAATCGAGTTACATAGTGATACTTTACGATATACTGTATTGACAATATCGCAATATTTTAGCGCTAGTTGGCTGTACCTGCACCAAAACACCATTATTGTTCCTTCATAGCTTGTTCTCAATCTTTTCACATTGGGAGCCAATTTGTTTTCAGCACTTTTATTTCCATGACTGATCAAAACTCGTTCTCATGGCTTTCTGATCCCTCTGCAACAGACATATGGTGCGCAATAAAATCACAGTATCGAATCGCAATACGTATAGAATCATGAGACTCGCAATGCTGATGCATATATCTTATCGTGAGGTTCCTGGCAATTCCCAGCCCAAGTTCATTTGCCACAACAAATCTCTTCGCTAGCAAACGCGATGTCTTCTCCAAAACGGCAATGTGTCTCCAGCAATGTTTACTTTTTTGACGTTCTATGGCATCTCCACTTTCCAAGCATATATGACCACATGTAATATTTTGGTAAGTGATGCAAATAGTGAACTATGTAGGGCCAGGATGTAAAATATATGTAGCTGCAGCAATTTCTCTTATCTGATATGGTAAGTAATGGGGCTTAATTTATAGCTCCCTAAGAGTTTGACGAACGGGTCCGTGCACGCGATTCCAGATATCTTTACCTCTGAATAAACTGCCTTTATTATACCATATCCACCCTGTCCAAAGTCTCTACTTGGTCTCAGTTCTCCAGTAAACTTGTGATTATCAACACTAACCTCATCGTTGTGGCGGCGGACAGCTAGCCTGTATCCCTCATCAAGTTGAGTGGCAATGTTATTTTTCCGTTCGTACCAATTTTTGGAAAATCCTCGGGTGTAGGACTTTCCGCCTTTAGTAGAAACCTGTTGAATTATTACATTTGGTCTGGGAGGTCCTAATTGTTTCGTTGCCAATTTATCTTCATTTGTTCGCCGACAAAAAGGAACTTCTTTCAAAGACACAATCCGCTCTTTTCTCAGTTACGTTCATGGTTACGTTACGTTACGTATGACGAAAGCGCGTAAGTGCAAGCCCTCAGACACCCATAGAGATTGTATTGAAGGCTCTGAAATTTGAAAAAAATAGATTTTACATTAGAGGCTATGAGAGACTTCTGGGCGATTTTCAACCTGACTGAAATCGCCCCAAAAGGGGGGGGAGCCATTTGAAGCACGACTTTAGCCTGATTCGACATTTAGTGGCACTGTGGCAGATCAGACGTATAGATTACAACACTGATAACTACTGTTGCCGTGATATAATTGATTAGAAAAAAAATCCCTTCCTTTTCCCGTTTGGCAGTGCGTCGCCCATATCGCCCTATTGAACAGGCCGCCCCTGCCCCCATGTATATATAGCCTCCCTACTGTCACTTTATTTTACTTCTGCTCTTTTTTTTCTCAACACTTTTTTTTGTTGTTGTTGTTTTATTTTTACTTTTTTTGTTTAAAATAAATGCACTGTTGGTTAAGGGCTGTAAGTAAGCATTTCACTGTAATGTCTGCACCTGTTGTATTCGGCACATGTGACCAATACAATTTGATTTGATTTGATTTGATTTGGATCACATCGGCCAGAGGGGACTTATCAGTTGCGATCTCATTATCAGTTGATAAAAATCATGCCAGGATCTCTTGTACTATATTCTCTTAATAGTCACTGTAAATCACTTTAGTCTACATATTGACAAGTTGGTCTTGGGTAGCCTATGAGCTCATCAATATTTTGTCCTGCATTCTGTTGGCTTGCTCTGTTACTGTCACTATTGCCCTCTCCCCCTCTCTTTTTATGTCTCTCACTTTCTTTGACCCCCTTGCCTGTATTTCTCCTTTTCCGCCTTGCCCTTTCCCTCCCTGTCTCTCACCCAAACACCCAAACAGTTTAACACAAACAAGCAACAACTGTCCTTGGAATCAATAGCCGCTGACGTTGTCGACATGTTTGCCCTCTGGTCTCTGGCGGGCTCACGTAGCTCTGGCTCACTCCAAATCAGGCTTCAGAGTGTCAAAGTAGACCATTAGCGCCACCACTATTACCTCGGGGCTAGTTCAGAGTGAGTGGACCAACCGCTGTGAGGTTCTGGATACTGGTAGGCCTACTGAGAGTCAGGGCACTGAAGAATGGGCTCGTTAAAGACCATGTCAGGTGGACTGCTGCTGGGTTTATGTCTCACCTTGCTGATATGGGGAGCTGAGGGACAACGGAACGGACGCGGTAAGGTACGTCAAAATTCTCACTGCTGAAAAGGTACAGGTTTAAAATGTAAGCCAAGGTGTTTTTCTCATGATATTGATTTTCGTGGTTCATTATCATTGGATTGGCCCAAGGGAAAATATACAATATTGGTCGTAGTATTGCCTTTACTGTAATCTCTCATGGAAATACTACGTAAACATCTGACCAAATTATGCAAGATTGTAGTTCTGGGTTAACTGAGATTACCTTGACTGCAACATAGAGAACTTGAATTGCGCAGTGAAAGAGAAGGGACTTTGCTCAGTAGTCTGTGGGCGGAAAATAGTATGTCAGGTCACCCTAAATCTACTCCATTGATTTGAGCTCACCCATATTTTGCTGTAGCACTCTATTAACATATTTATTACTCATTGTACAAAGGAAAAGACCATATGTTCAATTTATTTTGCCATACATTTGGCATAATGTTAAATATATGCACAAGTATAATAGTGTGGGTGTGCTGTGCATATTCCCTGCCTATAAGAAGACAGAATTGAGACTTAGGGGTGTGTATGTGAACGAATGAGCAGTATATTGAGCAAACTGTAACGTGTCATGTTTTGACACACAGAAGGAGATATCGGGCAGTGGCCCCATCAACCTTGGCCAACAACAACGAGGCACCTGGTGGCCCCTGATGCAGACCAGAGAAAACCTGACAGAGGTCAAAAGGTTTGTCTGCTTTACATGACCATGAGAAAAAAAAACAGCACTAGGTCCCATTCCAATACTTTTAACATGCACCCTTCCTTCCTTTCTTCAAGTCGAAAGACGATTGGATAGGTGTAAGCATGGTTTACATGCATACTCTACCGGTCAAAAGCTTTAGAATCCCTACTTATTCAAGAGTTTTTCTTAATTTTTAAAATGTTCTACATTGTAGAATAATAGTGAAGACATCAGAACTATGAAATAACACGTATGGAATCACTTAGTAACCAAAAAAGTGTTAAACAAATCAACATCTATTTTATATTTGAGATTCTTCAAATAGCCACCCTTTGCCTTGATGACAGCTTTGCACACTCTTGGTATTCTCTCAACCAGCTTCATGAGGTGTCACCTGGAATGCATTTCAATTAACAGGTGTGCCTTCTTTAAGGTTAATATGTGGAATTCCTTTCTTTCCTTAATGCATTTGAGCCAATCAGTTGTGTTGTGACAAGGTGGGGGGGTATACAGAAGATAGCCCTATTTGGTAAAAGACCAAGTCCATATTATGGCAAGAACAGCTCAAATAAGCAAAGAGAAACAACAGTCCATCATTACTTTAAGACATGAAGGTCAGTCAATACGGAAAATGTCAAGAACTTTAAAAGTTTCTTCAAGTGCAGTCGCAAACACCATCAAGCACTATGATGAAACTGGCTCTCATGAGGACAAGCCACAGGAATGGAAGACCCAGAGTTACCTCTGCTGCAGGGGATAAGTTCATTAGAGTTACCAGCCTCAGAAATAGGAGCCCAAATAAATGCTTCACAGAGTTCAAGTAACAGACACATCTCAACATCAACTGTTCAGAGGAGACTGTGTGAATCAGGCCTTCATGGTCGAATTGCTGCAAAGAAACCACTACTAAAGGACACCAATAAGACGAAGAGCCTTGCTTGGGCCAAGAAACAAGAGCAATGGACATTAGACCGGTGGAAATTTGTCCTTTGGTCTGGAGTCCAAATTTGAGATTTTTGGTTCCAACCGCTGTGTCTTTGTGAGACGCGGTGTGGGTGAACGGATGATCTCAACATGTGCATTTCCCACCGTAAAGCATGGAGGAGGAGGTGTTATGGTGTGGGGTTGCTTTGCTGGTGACACTGTCTGTGATTTATTTAGAATTCAAGGCACACTTAACCAGCATGGCTACCACAGCATTCTGCAGCGATACGCCATCCCATCTGGTTTGGGCTTAGTGGGACTATCATTTGTTTTTCAACAGGACAATGACCCAACACACCTCCAGGCTGTGTAAGGGCTATTTTACCAAGAAGGAGAGTGATGGAGTGCTGCATCAGATGACCTGGCCTCCACAATCCCCCGACCTCAACCCAACTGAGATGGTTTGGGATGAGTCGGACCGCAGAGTAAAGGAAAAGCAGCCAACAAGTGCTCAGCATATGTGGGAACTCCTTCAAGACTGTTGGAAAATCGCTCCAGGTGAAGCTGGTTGAGAGAATGCCAAGAGTGTGCAAAGCTGTCATCAAGGCAAAGGGTGGCTATTTGAAGAATCTCAAATATAAAATATAATTTGATTTGTTTAACACTTTTTTGGTTACTACATGATTCCATATGTGTTATTTCATAGTTTTGATGTCTTCACTATTATTCTACAAAAGAGTACAAATAAAGAAAAAACCTTGAATGAGTAGGTGTTCTAAAACTTTTGACCGGTAGTGTACATAACATCGTTTCCATAACATCAAAATGTTTGACTCCTTTCCTGCACTATAACTTCTACTTCTAGATCTCTGTGCTCTATCATACCAACCGTCCATTTTACTAACCATCCCTTTTCTAACCATCCATTTAGCTAACCATCCATTTTGGCAATGAGAAACGACCACAATATTCACTCTAAGTAACTGTCAGTCAAAGTAGCAACTAGGAAGACACATGAATGACTACTGATAGACTTCTTTCCCATGTCTTTGGTCCACAGCATCAAGTCCATGTTCCAGTTCCGGACGTTTGACCCCGAGGGGGTGGTGTTCTACGGGGACACCAGGGATGGAGAGGACTGGTTCGTCCTGGTCCTGAGGAATGGCATCCCCGAGATGCAGATCGGGAAAGCAGACATCCTCGTCAGTGTGCAAGGGGGACCCAAACTCAACGACGGCAAGTGGCATCTGGTAAGCCAGGTGACATTTGCTCTGCATTATGGGTAACCTATAGAAGCCTGGCACGCAAGGCTTGGTGGCAAATCAGGTGTGTACCAGTCATTTCTAATAGACCTGTGTGTAATGCATTATGAATGCATTTATTGAGGCTGTTATGAGGAGCAATGAGCTGTTATGAAGGGTGAAGGCCTATAGCAATGTGAAAGAAAGCACTTTAAATTCATTATACACGAGTGTATCAAATGTATTGGAGGCTTAATCACAGCTGACATGATACATTTCTATGCTGTGATATACATGCTATACTGTATTTCTGGTTCTCCATGCGTACTGTAGGTGGAAATCAGTAGCCAGGGGGATTTTGTGGTGCTGGAGGTGGACGGCCAGAAGGGGTTGGTGGTGGGACTGAAGTCCAAAGAGACCATAGAGGTTCTGACAGGCCAGATCCGCCTCGCCCTCGGGGGAATCCTGGTCAGCCTGGACAAGCTGCTCATCCCGGTATGCCGGAGCTATTTGTCTGTCGTTTGGTGTAGAGGGGAATGATTAACTGAACATTGAAATGGACTGGTCTCATTTAAAAATTTGTGTGTGTGTGTGTGTGAGCATGCGTGCGTGCTTGTGTCTAATTGCTAGCCTTAATGTTTGTGTGCGTGTGTCTCTGTGTGTGTGTGTAAGTGTGTGTGTGTATGAACGGTCCTTATACTGTACTTGTGTGTCTGGGTGGTCTCCAGTTCCAGCCGGAGATGGATGGATGCATCCGGGAGGGGAACTGGCTAAACCTGAGCACCCCCTGGGAGACAGAGTTGATTGGGGAGCCCTGGCCCTGCTACCAGAACATCCAGCCAGGGAGCTACTTCTCCGGAGCTGGACTGGCTGCATTCAACACCACAGGTACATTTAGGGAAACTAATGTGGGGCACACACAATAAAGACTGGTGACTCTCTAAGAACAAATTAGCTAATAAATTCAGTAGCCAACAACAAAACGCTACTCGTCTAGGATCCAATCAGCATCCTTTTGTATATTTAACTGAAGTGAAGCAACTGATCCCTATTCTATCTTCTGTAATGTCTACACCTGTTGTATTCGGCGCATGTGGCAAATAAAATGTGATTTGATAAAGACAGCCACTATATACCAAAGGAGGTCTGATGGTGTAGTGAAAAGGTTGTGAAGCCACACATAGCCTAAACTGTACTGGTTCTACCCAATTTACCTGTATATGTCCATACACAGATGTAGAATCTTAATTGGATCACCCTGTTGCAGGAGAACTTTCCTGCAATGCAGGAAATGTTACACTTGTAGTGTATTTGAGGTTTAAAAGGCTTCTGAAGTTTGTAATTTCCACTTTGAAATTTCAGGCTTGATTTTCCCTTATAATTATAATCCACATAATAATTCATATTTCCTGTTGCTGCAGGATTATTTTCCTGCTGTAGCAAACTGGCTCAAATTAAGATCCTACATCTGTATATTCAAATATTGGGATTGATTTATTAATATCTGTCCCACTGTAGACCTCCCTGGCCACCAGACAGAGGATAGTGGGATTACTATTGACATCCATGGAGACTCCACTAAGATGGAAGGAACAGTTCTGAGCTTGAAGACCCCTGGGCAGGAATTGCCCATGGTAACAGTGAAAGTCAACAACAACCCTAAGGTACCAATCCCACCATTCTAATTTCATGACAATATGAATGTGGATTTCAGCATGTAAACAGTCACAATCATAGTTTGTATTCATGGTTCTTTGACCAGTGCAATACAAATTTGATACAAATGTGCATCTATGCTTTCCCCCTTTTGTGTGGCAGAAAGTCACACTGACCATCTTCAAGCGTGAGTCCATCACCAAACAGAGTTTCAGCAGACTGTACCTAACCCTGTTGAAGAATCAAGTGAACATGGACATCGATGACACGCACCTAACCTTCAAGATCGACAGTATACCTGACATTCCTAGTAGCTGGAAAGAGGGGATGATCCTAGCATTTGGGGGGCTTCCAGGTGAGTTTGTGAGGAGATACTTTAAGTGTTTTGAGGATTCACAGGTACCAGAGGAGGCTGGTGGGAGGAGCTATAGGAGGACAGGTTCATTGTAATGGCTGGAATGGAATAAGTGGAATGGTATCAAATGCATCAAACATATGGAAACCAGATGTTTGACTCCGTTCATTCCAGCCATTACAATGAGAGCGTCCTCCTATAGCTCCTCTCACCAGCCTCCTCTGACTGGTACCAGATTTATTCTAATTAAAGTTACAGCTAACAGGCGTCTAGACACATATTGATGCTGCAGAATCTTGAAATATTGTTTATTTTCTTCCTCTCTCTATCCCCCCTCCCCTAACCTTTCTGTGGTTCCTCCCGCTCTCAGGTGATGGAGTGTCCTACAGTAGCATCCAATACCTGAAGGGCTGTCTGGAGAAGATCCAGGTCCAGGGACAGGCTGTGGATCTGGACCGGGCTCTGTACAAGGACCTCTCCGTCTCCTCCCATAGTTGCCCCTCAGAAGTCTGAACCAAGGATATCCTGACAGATCAGATCTGTGATGACTGTATAGATAATGTCATTTATCTCCATCAATCGCCCCTCCCTGGTCGCATAAGCCTATTTACAAATCCCTCCTCCCCCGTCTGTATTTTAACTGGCTCAGTCAGCATTCCTTTACACACAGTCATCCTTTTAACAATGGCTAAGAGAGGTTTGACCATAGAATTAGGAAAATAACCTTCTTATGATGGTCCAAAGGTCACCCATGTTGGTGAGGGAGTTGGTCAACCATGGTTTGCCAGTGCTGTGATAAGATATTATGTAAAACAATGAACGCGATGAATTTATCTGCACAGTATGTGTGTTAGCTAGCTAGCCAGCCAGTTTTAGATGTATGATTCCATAAAGTGTTCTAATTAACTGCCAATATGCCAACATTCCATTCAAACAATGCAGTCAATCCACATCCATACACTGGCTCAAATCAGTTGATGATAGGACTTAGAGAAGTTGTAAATGCAACAAGTACTGATATTGCAACATATAATGGCACTCACAGCTTTCCAATAAAAAAACTTCTGAGACATTTATGGTCTGTTTACCTATATTTTAGAGGCTATTTATACAGAACATTTGTATAAAACCCATATAAACTGTATTCATAATTATGTGACAATATTGTAGGTTGACTATAATTTCACTACACAATTTCTGACACATCACATGCCTTACTTTTATTTTCCTGCATAGTAAAAGCAGGAAATGCATCACCTATGGCTCTACTGCCATTCATTCCAATTAGACTGGTTTTGGATTTCTTCCTGACCAAGATAGCTGCCATTTTGCCCCATTATGGAACTTTGAGGGTTTATGACATACAGTGGCTTGCGAAAGTATTCACCCCCCTTGGCATTTTTTCTATTTTGTTGCCTTACAACCTGGAATTAAAATTGATATTTTAGGGGGTTTGTATCATTTGATTTACACAACATGCCTACCACTTTGAAGATGTAAAATAAAAAAATTTGTGACACAAACAAGAAATAAGACAAAAAAACAGAAAACTTGAGCATGCATAACTATTCCCCCCCCCCAAAGTCAATACTTTGTAGAGCCACCTTTTGTAGCAATTACAGCTGCAAGTCTCTTGGGGTATTTCTCTATAAGCTTGGCACATCTAGCCACTGGGATTTTTGCCCATTCTTCAAGGCAAAACTGCTCCAGCTCCTTCAAGTTGGATGGGTTCCGCTGGTGTACAGCAATCTTTAAGTCATACCACAGATTCTCAATTGGATTGAGGTCTAGGCTTTGACTAGGCCATTCCAAGACATTTAAATGTTTCCCCTTAAACCACTTGAGTGTTGCTTTAGCAGTATGCTTAGGGTCATTGTCCTGCTGGAAGGTGAACCTCCATCCCAGTCTCAAATCTCTGGAAGACTGAAACAGGTTTCCCTCAACAATTTTCCTGTATTTAGCGCCATCCATCATTCCTTCAATTCTGACCAGTTTCCCAGTCCCTGCCGATGAAAAACATCCCCACAATATGATGCTGCCACCACCATGCTTCACTGTGGGGATGGTGTTCTTGGGGTGATGAGAGGTGTTGGGTTTGCGCCAGACATAGCGTTTTCCTTGATGGCCAAAAAGCAAAATTTTAGGCTCATCTGGCCAGAGTACCTTCTTCCATATGTTTGGGGAGTATCCCACATGCCTTTTGGTGAACACCAAACGTGTTTCCTTATTTTTTTCTGTAAGCAATGGCTTTTTCCGTAAAGCCCAGCACTGTGGAGTGTACAGCTTAAAGTGGTCCAATGGACAGATACTACAATCTCAGCTGTGGAGCTTTCCAGCTCCTTCAGGGTTATCTTTGTTCTCTTTGTTGCCTCTCTGATTAATGCCCTCCTTGCCTGGTCCGTGAGTTTTGGTGGGCGGCTCTCTCTTGGCAGGTTTGTTGTGGTGCCATATTCTTTCAGTTTTTTAATAATGGATTTAATGGTGCTCCGTGGGATGTTCAAAGTTTCTGATATTTTTTTATAACCCATTCCTGATCTGTACTTCTCCACAACTTTGTCCCTGACCTGTTTGGAGAGCTCCTTGGTCTTCATTTTTTAAATTTTATTTTTATTTTAGCAGACGCTCTTATCCAGAGCGACTTACAGTTTGTGAGTGCATACATTTTTTATACTGGCCCCCCGTGGGAAACAAACCCACAACCCTGGCGTTACAAGCGCCATGCTCTACCAACTGAGCTACAGGGGACCTGTAGTTTGCTTGGTGGTGCCCCTTGCTTAGTGGTGTTGCACTCTGGGGCCTTTCAGAACAGGTGTATATATACTGAGATCATGTGACACTTAGATTGCACACAGGTGGGGACTTTATTTAACTATTATATGACTTCTGAAGGTAATTGGTAGCACCAGATCTTATTTAGGGGCTTCATAGCAAAGGGGGTGAATACATATGCACGCACCACTTTTCCGTAATCAAGTAATTTTTTTCATTTCACTTCACCAATTTGGACTATTTTGTGTATGTCCATTACATTTCATTTATAGGTTGTAATGCAACAAAATAGGAAAAACGCAAAGTGGGATGAATACTTTTGCAAGGCACTGTAGCCCCTCTAGTAATTTAATAGGATCTGTATGGGTTTGACCGTCTTTGTGTGCCTTTGACCAGGTTATGGGGTGTAAAATGAGCAGATGAGATGGGTCATTGCTTTCTGCATTTTCTGTCAATAAAGATACATTGCACTTGTAATAGATGATCCTGTTGGTGCATCAGTCTCATTATTGTGCCATATAGAATATAACTAAATCAAATCAAACTTTATTTAAAGTGCATTTAAAGTTTGATTTGATTTAGTTATATTCTTCAACTTACATTTTTGGTTGAGATGGAGATTTGAATCCAACATATAAATTATTAATTTGTAGACAAACTGGATATTGAATTGTTTGGTTGTCAATGCAACCAAATATCAACATTTGAAGGAGATGTATATTATGCTTGGATAGTTCCATTCGTGCCACTGACTTAGACTGGCTTTAATTCCAGTTTGTCTACAAATTCATAATTGATATGTTGGATTCCATGTCAACCAAAAATCTAAGTTAAAGAATAGAACTAAATCAAATCAAACTTTAAATGTACTTTAAATAAAGTCTGATTTGATTTAGTTCTATTCTTTAAATGTTGATATTTGGTTAAGTTGTCAACCAAACACAATTAATTACTTTTGTAATAAAGTAAATAGCCTAAGGTTAAGGAACATTAAAAAAAAAAAAAAAAAAAAAATAGGGGGTAGATCAGCTTTAATATTGTGGCTTCCATCAATGTAATTTTCTGCATAATTTCCAATCTACCATATATATTTTTTGAAATATATAACTATATATTTTTAAAAATATATTTTCCTTTATTATTTTCCCCTAACCCAACCACCCCTCCCCTAATTGGAGTAAACTAATTGACAACAACATTTAGGCTTCTATTTCCAGCTTATACATACTATATACATTTTACGGACACAGTATATTTTACAATAGTTATCTTTTGTTTGTTTTTAGTCCCATCCTTCAGCTCCACTCAACCCCTCCCGTCTGTCTCCAAACACCATCCAGTTTAGATTTCTATTTGCCATATATTTTTTCAACTGTGCTGTGATGTTTCACAAAAGTTCTGAACCTTTCTACTCTCATAGATTCTACATATTGTAAATTAAAAATAAACATTTTTGCTAAGAGTATTATAATATTAATGATCGATTGACCATGACTTTTTAAATCACCCAGTAATGCTATTTGCAGAGGGGGACATAACTTGGCAGGGGTCTGGGGGCCCTCCCATTTTTTGGGGCATCTAAAGCTAATTTCCTGCATTTCTACACAATCTAATATGACCCGTGGCCCTTCTAGCTTTCTATATTTAGAACAACAAAAAGTAAGCAAAAATGCCCACAGTCATCAAGCTAGGTAAGAGATTATTACATATGTTTAAGTGATTGATAAGACTGAACTAGATCCATGATAATTCAAGAATACATTTTGTGTTACACCTTTAACCAATAGCCTAACAAATGAACAACTCTTACAAATAAAGTACAAAGACAACTTTTGATTGTCTTTAAGACGGGGCGGCAGGTAGCTTAGTGGTTAAGAGCGTAGTGCCAGTTACCGAAAGGTCGCTGGTTCTAATCCCCGAGCCGACTAGGTGAAAAATCTGTTGATGTGCCCTTGAGCAAGGCACTTAACCCTAATTGCTCCTGTAAGTCACTCTGGATATGAGCGTCTGCTAAATGACTAAAATGTAAATGTAAGACATCCTCTATATCAAATTTCAGCTGAGCTGCCTACACGCCCAACCCCCACCAGTCTAGTCAATAACTCAACTCTCTCCCCAGCACAACTTCCTTCCCATCTTTTAGTTTATGTCTCAAAAAAACACACCTACACATTAACACACAGCAACAGTACACCCTCCATATAATTAATATCATAGGCCTAATAGTGTCACGGTTCAGACAGACGACCAGAGGACCACAATTGCGTCACACCAGAAAGTTTATTAAAACTTAAGGGAAAAGGGAAGTAGGGAGTGAATGAAGGCTCCAGGGGTAACAGGGATCCCGTCCAATGTGCTGGGTCTGTGCCCCCCCCAGTGGCAGCAATGCGTCCTATGAAGCCGGTGGTGGGTGGTCCAGAAGTCCTGGGGGGGGGAGACACAGACACAACAGGGCGGAATGAAACAAGGCAGCAGTACAGTTCAAGGGAAATCCAAAATACGTAGTAGCAAGGCAGAAGGCTGGTCAGAGTTACCGGGATTGAAGAGTAGTCAGGAGTCGTTATGGCAGAAGCAGGTCTGGATCTCCTGGGGCAGAAGAGTATCCAAAAATCAGGCAGGTCCGGGGTCACAAAACCAGGGTGAGCCAGAAGCGCGAGCAAACAGGTTCCGGGTGTGAGCTTTGCAGACGATCTGACACCGGAGAGCTGAAAGACAGGGCCTTAAATACTGGGAGAGGTAGTGGGAATGCAGCGCCGTTAGCAGAGTGAGCA